TGTAGGCCCCTATATGTTTCTGGTTACACATTTTATTTCAAAAGGACCAGGTGCAGCCGTACCGCCGAGAATCTCTTTTAGAGTAGGAAGATGGTCTGGGTCAGCAGGCAGGAACTCGAACCTCTGAAACATGGACGACAGGAACAAGAAAAGTTCCATCTTAGCCAGGGATTCCACAAGACAAATTCTGCGACCGATAGAAAACGGTATGAGCTCTTCTCTCTTTATCAAATTTCCTTGCTCGTCCAGAAATCTTTCAGGTCGGAAATTCTCAGGATCTCCCCAGATTTTCTCGTCTCTTAGAACGGAGTCGAGGTTAATCAGTATCTGGGTTCCTTTTGGGATATTAAAGCCCATCAGAACTGTGTCTTCGCAACACATGTGGGGGGCGCTAAACGGCACCAGACTGGCAATTCTCTGAATCTCCATTATAAAAACATTCAAGTATTTTAGCCTAGGTTTGTCGTGTATGTTCGGTACGCGGTCGGTTCCCACATGTTCCATAATTTCATTGAAGATTTTCCCCTGTGTTTCTGGATTATGTAAGACATACAACAGACTCCATAAGATGGTAGTGCTGGTGGTCTCTGTCCCTGCAGCAAAAAGATTTTCAATACATCCCAGAAGATTAGCTTCATCCAGATAAGTTGACTCTCCGAGTTGTTCAGCTTTTTTCATTTCCTCAACGTAAGCCGCAATAAAATTGTCTTTATCGCCATTATCTCTAACGCCTCCAACAAGTTTAATTACAGTCGTTCTAATCCCGTTAATTGTAGATCCAAATTTATAAAAACCGAAAGGGTCAAAGGGTATGTGTCTCAACCAAGGAAAGATAACAAAAGCATTAGCGCCCGATCCTTGTTCAGTCAAATTATTAAAGAGGTGCATCATTTTTAAAAATGTCGGATCGGTAAATTCAAATCTGTGACCAAAGATTATGGAACAAATAACATTAGAGACACTCATATTAGTCAACGTTTTAATATTTGTAGGCTTTCCTTTACTTTTTGTGAGTTCTTTGACGTAAGCGGAGACTTCTTCAGAGATTTTCTCAGCTAAAATATTTTTCCCCATACCGAAACGTCTAAGAATCGCCAAAGATGTTGTTCTTTGTTGCTTCCAGTTTGGGCCCGATGACATGATGATACCGTCTAGCATGTGTGGGAAATGTTGGACGAGAAGGTCAATGTTAGGTCGATGTGAGAAAAACTCGGCTTGCTTGACCAGCGCTTCTTTAATCACGTCGTATGTATTGAGAACAATCACTGTGAAATTTCCCATTTTGAGTCGAAACACTGGCCCCAATGTCTTCGCAAAACGAAGGAACTGTTGCCTGGGGTTCTTCTGTAGGAGGTACAGGTGTCCAAGGTAAGGCAGTGAGATGCCAGGTGTTGGTGGGAGTTTTGGAACATCTTTCTCCGTGGTCAACAGAAAATAAAGCACCACCACGAACGTCAGACAGAGAAGCCATGACGTCGTTCCCACTGACACAATCCAATCCAAAGCCATTCTAAAAAAGAAAATGCGTTTAATTTATTCAAATAAAAGCGTATCTATATATATATATATATATATATATATATATATATATATATATATATATATATATATATATATATATATATATATATATATATATATATATATATATATAAAAGCAAAGTGGGTGATGTTTGGTTTGTTTGTTGTTTACTCTGACCTATTAGAACGGATACTTGCAGTGAAATTATTCTTTAACAAGTTTGCTGTTCACACTTTTTAACGGGAAAATTAGATTCATCGCAGTAATCGAGTTTACAGTGATCGAAAACTGACCTAGACTGACCGAGGCCTTAGATCGACCATTTGCAAATGCGTCAAAAAGTTGGTATTTGGTAAGGAGATAACTCTGGTCTCAATTTTAATATTTAAAATTAACAATAAACGGTTTTCAAATAGTTGTGAAAAAAAATTGACTATTTTTATAGATTAATTTTTTCCGACATATAAGGATAAACTGCGTATGGAATTTAAATTTTAGATTTTTTTTTATCCAAACGTTTTCTTGCGTGTAGTCAAAGAAGGGGAAAAAATACATGTTTAAATTCCTGAGGATGTTGCGTCCCTTTAAAAATTAACATTGAAGGGTAAATCGTTTCAATTTTAACAGCTTATTAATATGACTAATCTTAGAATCTGGTTTTTTCAGATGCCTACGGAACCAGAGATATCTCTTTACGAAATATCAACTTTTTGTCGCATCTGCAAGTGGTCGATCTAATTTCAAGGACTATAAAAATTTAAAAAATAATGCATAGTTATATAAGACCGCGGCCAGTCTCGGACAGTTTTTGGTCACTTTCAAATCGATTATTGAGATAACTCTAATTTTCCCTTTAAAAGCAGAGTGAAAACCATAGTTTGTCAAGAACAATTTCCCTGCAACTTATTTGCAGGTACCCGATCTAATAGGTGTGAGTAACAAACAAACCAAACATCCCAAACTTAGCTTATATATATACATATTTATATATATATATATATATATATACATACACACACACACACACACACACACACACATATATATATATATATATATATATATATATATATATATATATATATATATATATACATATATTTATATATATGTGTGTATGTGTGCGTGTATGTGTGTGTGAATGTAAAAAATCATGTAAAATAACCAATTCCTACCTTATATAATGTCAAAATCAGGCTTTCATATAGGATAAAACACTAGGTTTTGGTTCCAGTAAACACTACAAATGTCTGCATTTTATATGAGCTGGTGTGTTGGAAGCGGTGTTACAGTTACTGACACTTTCGTTCATTGCGCCGGTGGCAGGGTTGTAAAGTGTAACGCTGTTATCGGCAGTTGTTTATTTTATGGCAGTCAGCCATAGTGTTTATGAATACATATCAAAGGCAACAATTTACAAAAAATAGAAATGTAGTTCTTTTTTTTTTTGGTGGTCTTGATCTTTGTGACGGTGTGTAATGGTACAGAGAGTCAGGGGTAACCAGTTAAAACAGTTTTCCCTCGCTTATCCGACGATACCTGCACATTTATTACTTATTTTTTCACACACAGGAAACGCTCAAAGATACAGATATATGTAAACACAAGCACATAGGCAGATATATACAAGCACACAGACACAACCCAATCACACTTGTTCAAAATATAAATTAAAATTTGGAAACAGAAACACAGATACACACAAGCACACAAGCACAAACATACTAGTGCAAAAAATTAATTTAGATTTGTAAATAGGAACGTTGATACACAAGCACACAAACACAATCATACTAGTGCGAAATATTAATTTAAATTTGGAAACAGGAACAAAGATACACACAAGCACGTAAAACACAAAGCATAAAGATAGAAAAGTATAAAAACAAAATTTTACAGAATTTCGAAAAATCCAGACCTACCAATGTTCCAGACTCAGCAACATAGTGATAGACGCTTATAAATAGACACTAAATTATCAGAAAAAGTAGAGACACATTTAGAACCACATGCTTCACTCACACACACATGATCATGTTAGCATACAAACTTCTCACTACCCTTATACTGTGATAGACACTAACAAAAATAGACACACCTAGGCTGAAAACTATAGACATATTTAGAGACAGACGTTGCAGTTACAAACAAATTATCACCTTAGCATACAAACTTCGCACTTCTCTTAGCAGTAAGTAAGTAAAGTTCTCTTTCAAACCTGAAGGTCTACGGGGCAAGTGAAGTAGAGTTCACTTCCCTTAGTAATTAACGTATATTTAAATTAAAACACAACCAGTAACAGGTTGACACTGTGAATAAATGTATGTGCGTGCTTGCGTGTGTGTGTGTGTCTGTGTGTAATACCGTTCCGCACAAAGAATACTAATGGAACCCGCTTAGCACAAGGTTATACCCTTCGACATATCTATTTTTAGCTCAATGTCGTCAACTTAAGAAAGAGCTTAACCTTCACCTCTTAAGTTAACACATACACAACCAGCCATACACACGCACACATTAACGCCTACACACGCACGCTTCCCTAGACACATGCGTGTTACCTTTAGTTTGCTGAATTTTTTCTAGCGCAAGATCAGTGAACCGTAACGCCGGGTGTACAAAAGCTGTGTCACAATTTCTAAGGTCTAAAATGTCCTTGCTTAAGCAGTGCCAGTATAGGGCTGGTAAGTAGGTCACCAACCAGTTCATTGGCTCAATAAAACCTGCATGAGCCACATAACTGGTTGGTGACCTACTTACCAGCCCTATTGGAGTCACTCTTGACTGAGCCGTCAGGACCTTTTCTAGGGTCGTCGTAGTTGAAAATTTCAACAACATTGAACGTGCCGAATTCTTTCAAACTTGACATGTAGGTCACTATCCGATGTCAATAAATTGTGCGGTGTATTGGTGAAATATTAAATCAATCAATAAACACTTGATCTGAGGGGAAGGGGGTGTTGGGACTACTCTGTTAATATTTTCACAATTCTTTGCTTTTATCTTGATCTTCTGGTGCTTATTAATTACTATATGTAATTATGCAATATACAGCTATACAGCTGAGTCTTCTCCTTGATGTCCTCCAACCAATGTCGTCAATGCCTTCCTCGCCTTCCTCCTGGCACCGTGATCTGCATAATGGTCTTTGATAGACTGTTACTCATGCCACATGCCCATACCATCTATGTTGGTTTTTTCTATTACGATACTTACCAGGTTCTCGGAGGCACCAACCACCTTAGTGATTATTCCTCGAACCTCCTTAAAAAGGTAATAATTACATGTTTTATTACTTTTCAAAAAAATTGATTAAAGATTCGTTCTAAAGCACTAATTAATTGGCGCTATCATACACTATTCGTAACGTTCATTCAGTGCGCAAGTTGTTTGATATATAAGATTCGATTCTATAAAAATTTTATTAAAAAATTATTAAATTAAAAAAAACCCACACACATTGTTAAGATTTTTATGTGCACTAAAAAGAAAATAAAAGGTCTTTTTAAACAAATATTGTTAACAGGTAATTTTCTTTTCTTCTTATAGTGCTGAAATAAAGTTTGTTATAAATGTCATTTTAATTTAATTACACTAATTTAAGTAAAGACAAAAACTGCTTTACAAAGCACTGGGTAGACGAAAAATGTAACCAGAAACTGTGCAAAAAATTAAGGTCAAATTAGACTTAAACATGATATATGTTATCTTTGGGTTTATTTTATCGATTGTCATTTCGCCGAAATAGAAATATTAACATTAAACATTGTTTTAAAATCAGCATTTTTGTCGGTCCACGCATCTGATTTCGTACGGATTGGGTGCAGTAGTTGTTCCAAAAATCTCATTTAAAGTAGGAAGATGATCTGGGTCAACAGGCAGGAACTCGAACCTCTGAAACATGGACGACAGGAACAAGAAAAGTTCCATCTTAGCCAGGGATTCCCCAAGACAAATTCTGCGACCCATAGAAAACGGTATGAGCTCTTCTCTCTTTATCAAATTTCCTTGCTCGTCCAGAAATCTTTCTGGTCGGAAATTCTCAGGATGTCCCCAGATTTTCTCGTCTCTTAGAACAGAGTCGAGATTAATCAGTATCTGGGTTCCTTTAGGAATATTAAACCCCAAGAGAACAGTGTCTTGATTACAAGCGTGTGGAAGACTAAGAGGTAGCAGACTAGTAGTCCTCTGTGTCTCCATTATAAAAGCGTTCAAATACTTTAACTTTGGTTTATCGTAGATATTCGGTGCACGATCAGTACCTACATGTTCCATAATTTCATTGAAGATTTTTTTCTGTGTTTCTGGATTATGTAAGACATACAACAGACTCCATAAGATGGTAGTGCTGGTGGTCTCTGTCCCTGCAGCAAAAAGATTATCAATACATCCGATTAGATTTGCTTCATCTAGATACGTTGATTCCCCAAGTTGTTCAGCTTTTTTCATCTCCTCAACGTAAGCCGCTACGAAATTATCTGCCTCGTTGGTGCTCCGATCTCTTACTTTTTGCACCAAATGCTTGATCACAGAATTTATTTCCATGACTGTCGATGCATATTTATTGTATCCCAGCACGTCAAACGGCAAATGACGTAACACCGGTAGCACAACAACAGCGTTAATTCCTGCACATTCCCCAAGAACATGGTCGTACATTTCTATCAACCTTAAAAATATTGGATCAGTTATCTCAAATCTTTGACCGAAAATCACGGAACAAATAACATTAGCGACACTCATATTAGTTAGTATTTTTACATTTATCGGTCTACCTTTAGTGGATTCGAGTTCTTTGACATAAGCTGCGACTTCGTTTGCTATATGTTCTGTCATGATATTTTTACCCATGCCAAAAGACCTGAGTATTGCCAAAGATGTTGTTCGGATCTGTTTCCATCTAGCACCAGAGGACATGACAATACCGTCGTACAAGTGAGGGAACTTACTGATAAGAATTTCAAAGTTCGGCCGGTCAGAAAAATATTCACCTTGCTTGACCGTCGCTTCTTTAATAACATCAAACGAATTTAACACAACGGTCGTCCAGCTCCCCATTTTGAGCCTGAAAATTGGACCAAGGGTTTGAGTGTAGCGAAGAAACTGTTGCCTGGGGTTTTTCTTTAGCAGGTACAAGTGTCCGATAAAGGCCAGCTCAATGCCTGGGGTTGGTGGAAGATTTTGGGGCTCTTTTTCGGACGTCAGCCAAAAGTAGATTAAAATCGCAAGCGTCAGATAAAGTAGGCATGACGTAATTCCTAGTGACGTCAAGTAGTCTGACGACATTTCTGGAATAAATGTTAAAATTTGCTTGATTCAAGGACAGTTAATTTAATTAAACCACTAAATCAGGCAATAAGCAAGCAAGCAAGCAAGCAAACAACAATATAATTTGTTCACTTTCTTGCTGAGAGAATTAGTCTGTAAAATAAAATTCGTTTTTAATACATATATTTTTACTCTATTTAAACTTGATATACTTTGTCTTAAAATAATGATTTAGAACTATTATTTTTCCCTGGTTCATGTTTTTTTAAGGTTAGTTTATCTGTTTTGCCCCATTAAAGATACTTTTTTTCCAGGGTTTAACAACGCTCTAATAATGAACTTATATGACCAATTGGGCTGGTAAGTAGGTCACCAAGCAGTTCTACGGCTCAATAAAATCTGCATGAGCCATAGAACTGGTCGGTGAACTACTTACCAGCCCTATTAGGAATACTGCCGGAGAGATTATAATGAGCAATCAATTTGAGATAACGATTTTGCAACTCCTGCACTATCTAAGTATACCAGCAGTGATTCTCTGTTGTATGTTTAGACAGAATAGGAAGTGACGCCTCTCTATAGCGGAGTAGAACGTCACATTGGCGCTAGGGAATGTGCTGTCTGGTGTTAGTAGGTGCGCATTACTATGTTAAGATATGCAAACATATTTTAAAACAAAATTATATTCAGTTAACTGAGATTTACGTTTAAAAACTGTTTATAAAACGTTTACAGCTATTATAATATAACTATTTAATCTAGATAAGCTATAAACTATCATGACGCATGGATTCATAAAAGATTTCGGTTTCTAAAGTTAATAAACATTAACTACTTCCCAATTATAATTAAAAAAAAAACCCAGGGAATACAATCTATAATTTTACTCCCAAGAGATGTTAAATATAAAATAAAATATAACAAACATATAATCAAAATGCGGATCGTAGATTTTGTATTTGCAAAATAGGTGTATTAAATGTGTTAAATTGATTTTTACCTAATAGTTATAGTTAATACAAATTTAAATTATTATTTTAATTTAGTTTAAATTAAAAAAAAACCTTAACAAAAAAATGAACATAATTGTCACAGATTCGAAAGAAACCTACAGATTAAATGCTTTATACTCAATGGCACGGTTGAATCGATATACTAATTTTCACATCCTATGTGTTGGACCTTACCGAGAATAGC